GGAGAAGTACTGCACCAGTGGCAACAAGGGAAGCATCAGTGGCAAGGGCGAATTGCTGAGTTGGATCAGGGTTTCGAAGGACAGGGGTAGAAAGGAAGCATTCCTTGAGTTTGTTGAAGGCATCATTGCAGGAGGGTGCCCATTTGAACGTGGAAGTCTTCTTCGTCAGGTATACAAGGGGCCTAGCAATGTCAGAGTAGTGGGAAATGAAATGGCGATAGAAGTTACAGAAGCCTAGGAATGATTGGACATCTTTTACATTCTTTGGTACAGGCCATTCTTCAATCCCTTTTAGTTTGGCGGGGTCCATCGCTATCTGTCCTGGACGAATGATCATTCCAAGATAGTCAACTTCTTGTACGTCAAAAAGGCACTTCTCTGGTTTTAGGAAGAGTTTCTCATTCCTTAGGATTTCCAGGATCCTATGGGTTCGCTTTTGATGTTCTTCAAGGGAGTCTGAGAAGATAAGGATGTTGTCCATATAGATTACCAACCATCCTTCATTGAGTTCTTGTTGGAAAGTGCGATTCATGTATGCTTGGAATGTGGCTGGGGAATTGCAGAGCCTGAAGAACATAACATTCGGTTCATAGAGACTGAACTCTGTTGTGAATGCAGCTTTCCATTGATCTTCTGGATGAATCAGGATGTTGTTATATCCAGAATGAACAGTCCATCTTGGTGAAGTACTTTGCATTTCGGAGTTTGGCAATAAGTGGGGGAATCAAGGGAAGTGGGTAGGCGTTTCATATTGTCCATTCATTGATGTATCAATAATCTTGGCAGGGTCGGAGAGATCCATCTTTCTTTCCCACGAAGAAGAAACCGCTGGCTTCGGGAGATTTTGATTTGGTGATGAATTCTTTCTGGATGTATTCATCTAGAAACACCTTGACTGCTTCTTGTTCTTTTTCAGATAAGGGGTAGATCTTGGATGATTTGGGAATGAATCCTGGCTTTGTTTTGATGTGATGGTCAATTCCTGGTCTAGATGGAGGAAGTTTATTTAGCCCATCTTTGGCGAATATGTCAGCAAAATCATGGAGATAAGAAGGAACTAATTCTTCAAAAGACTTCTTCTTCTTTGCTTGTTCTCCTGCCATGGCAAACTCTTGCGCCTTGTTACTTGTCTTGTGGTATTCCTCTTCTGTTGAAGTGGCGAGAATCCAAGAGTTTCATAATGGGGCAGTTGTGCTTGCTCGTCGGATTTCGGCAGCAGAGGTTCCATCGGCAGTAAGTGGGGAGTTGAAGGAGAGGTTTTCGATGATTCAGGATAGTAGTGCCATCTTGTGCATATTCTATGAGAATTTCGTCATCGGAAAGAGGGTAGGTTGCGACATCTTCTACTTTTTGGGCAAATTGGTCAGTAACCCATACATCTTCCTTCTGGTTAAAGTCAGGCATCTCAATTTCTTCATCATCATCAGGATCAGGGATCAGATTGGGGAGTGGTTCTTCGGAGTTTAGAGGGGGAAGAGATTCGTCTCGTACTTCTTCTACTGTTGCTTTCTTGGATGGTTTCTTGGCAGGTTCAGGGGTTTTCTTGATTTCTTGTTGTTTCTTGAGGGATCGTTCTATCTTCCTGGAGTGAGGCATTGCAGGGATGGAAATAGTCTGCTTGGTCCAATCAATGTCAGGGTTAATAGCCCGTAACCAAGGTATTCCAAGGAGAATCTTATCCCTTCGTCCAAGTTTGGTTACATTGAACTTTCCTATCATGGTTCATTGATCGATCTTGAATCCAAGGACACAGTAGAAGGAGACTGGTCCATCAGAAGAGTAAGATCCATCGGCAGTCTTGATCTGGAATGGTTCAGAGAGTCGTTTGACGGGGATGTTGTGTTCCTTGACGAAGTCCCAACTGATGAATGTTCCTGCCACTCCACAGTCCACAACGACAGTTGTTTCAACGGTTTGTGCACGCTCTGTGAGGATCAGGGTAGCCGGTACCCGAAATTCTTTTCTTCCTCCTACAGTTCGTACAAGGCGTATATCAATGGAAGGTACTGACGTCGAAACAGTCCTTCCTTCTAAAAATCCATTCGGCAGGTGGCTTCTTCTTCTTCTTCCTCGGTGTCTTCTTCTTCAGGCACTTCACGCCTTACCGGTACTTTCCTGTTGTTTCTTTTATCGTCTCCTTGGGGGTGGAAGTTAGGGTCGTTGGCATGATGTCCTGTCTTGGTGCAGTGGAAGCATTTCCCTGTTCTCATATATTCTTTTCTGTCAGCTTGTGATAAGCGATCTACTTCCATAGTGTTTGGATCTCTGGAGGGTGTGTATCGGCTTGGACCGAAGTTCTTCTTCTTCTGATAGGTGTTTCCATTGCAAGCACTAATTGTGTTGAAGTGGAGCCGAGCATTGTTGAGGGTGACGCATTTTTCAACAAACTTGTCATATTCTTCAGGGATTACTCCAGTGTTGTAGAGCTTCTTGATGAGTCCTGGGTGGGCTCCATCGATGAAGAATTGAATCTTGGGAGTGTCTTCGGTGATCCCTGCACGAGTTGCATATTGTTCAAAGTTAGCAATATACTCGGCCAGATCGTTCCCCTGTTTCAGAGCTCTAAGCTTGTCAAGTGCATCAGCAACTGCAGTGGTGGGTTCAAAGGCTTTCTTGAAGTCTTTCAGAAACTGGGGCCATTTGCCATATCCAATCTGCTGTCCAGACGTATCAGTGTGGGTTGGATCTTGGGCTTTCTCTAGGAAGCTCTCTGCCCAAGTAGAGGCCACTCCTTCAGTCATGAGAGATAACGCAAAGATGATCTTCTTTTTGTCATCATTGTAGATCTTGTCATTGATGTCGAGATAGGCAATAGTGGCGAGGAGCCATCATCTAGCTTTGTTTCTGTCTCTGTTCAAGAAGGTGGAGGTTCTGATCTTGTACTCAATGTCTTTAGCTGTCAACATTGTCAGTCTTCTGGGTGGTAGTGGTGGGAATGAAGGTGGAGGGGAAAGGGAGAATGCTGCTAGGGTGGGTGAGATTGAAGATGGACTCTGAGGTTGGACAACTGGTGAGGATGGTATGGTCTGAGGGGTTCTTGATCCTTCTGATGTTGAGGATTCTTCTGATTCGTTCTTGCTTCTCCAATTACTGTGAGAAGGTTCATTCTGTTGTCGCCCCAAAATGTTGGGCTAATCTGTTCTGGGGTTCAAGGGGTTCAGCATTACTTGGAAGTAAGGCAACTAGAGGTAACTTGAATCTTTTGTTACGACTAGGATAGTTCTTCTTCAATGTTCCAATAAAGGATGATCAAGGTTGAAGTGTATCGCGAGTTCTTGAGATCAAGGTTCAGGCTAGTCGAGTGTCAAGGGCTCGCTAGATCAAGTATTCAGGCTAGTCTGCTGGAAGGCAGCTAGATCGGTGAACTCAAAGTATCAGAAGAGAACCTAGTAGATTCAAGTTAAGGAATATGAGTACAGGAAGCGTGATATATATATATGTAACAAGAATGTAGTTTAGGGCCGGTCTGTAGGTAGGTGACCCTATCAAGAAAGGTAAGCAAGAATAGGAAGACAATATCAATCAATTAGAAAAGGAGATGAGAAATGGTACAATGTTGGATTGACCAATCAGGGAACAGTATGAGTAATCATCTGTGTAAGCATAATGAGTAAGCATATAGGTAAGCATTCACATGTTGGATGTGTTGATAAGCAGTCACGAGACTCAATGAGTAAGTAAAGAAAGAAAGAGAAAAGAAAATATAGCGCCATTGTAACAACAGTGGACTATGGCCTTCAGCAGGCCCAACTGCAGGTGCAGGTGAGTTGACCATTTTGTCCCCCTCATCCCCAGAGATCTTCTCAAGGTGGAAGGATTCCCCTTCATCTGCACCATTTTCTCGAAATTGGACAGGACGCTGATGATGCCTTTGAGGGTTACAAAGGATATTTGCATTCACTGCAGCAGCGATTGGAGTGGGAGCAGCAGTGGGAGTAATGGGAACAGCAATGGGAATGGGAGTAATAGGAGCAGTGACAGGAGCAGGAGAGATGGGAGCAGCAACAGGAGCAGGAGGAATGGGATCAACAGTGGGGACAGCGACAGCGACTCTGGCAGTAACCCAGGCAGTGTTCTTCCGTCGAGGAGGCATGTTGGTGGCAGTGGTGGTGAAGATGATCCAACAGCAGAATTATTGGTCTAGATATATCATGACATCTGGGGAAACCCCAGAACATGCCAATGTGCAGTGATCCTGAGTCCCTGATGGAAAAGCCCAAAGAACGATTGTCACGAGGTATGACTCCACAACTCATGCAAGTCAAATCTGATTCAGCAGTGAGTGGGGGGTGAAAAAAACTCCTGCAATTGTGCATACCTGGAGAGAATCAACTCCAACTTGAAACTCCAGACTCCAGAGGGCCCAAAGGCTTGAAGTCAAGCACATCTTCATCCTCAGGTGTAGTTGAATGATCAATGGAATCAAAACTAGATCTCCATTGATAAGCACTCACTGAGTCGTCATTATTATGTGGTATGGCTGGATTGCCGATTATGATGATTCAGGAAGTCATGATGAGTCCCCAGCGAGTTATGAAGGTCATTTCCAGGCAGGGCTGCAGCCTGCAGGATGTTGAAAGATAAGAGGCGCTGTGTGGGAGTTGAAGATTTTTAAATATCAATATATCTGGTTCAGTGGTTATTGCATCCGACACGTCATATGTATGCTGCAAAGCTCATTGTAAGAAATTGTATGTGCTGTGAATCCTACTATATCACAAAGTACATGTACAGTACTTGCTTGTACAAACTACTCCATACAGGTATCCAACAGCATCATGATCTAGTTTTTTTCCAGTGTGGAGTTGAAGATGTTGCATGTAACGGGGAGTCATTACATGGGCACAAACTTGCAATCACATTAGTTTGTAAGTACTAAGATAAATGGACTACTCACACACAAGTCGATCTGCAAAGCAGCGGGCATGGAGGCACTGCCTCAATTACACAGGGTTTGTTGAAGAATGGAGGGGAATGTGTGATAGGTACATCAGGCTGGTTTATATCCAGCAAGCACGCAGCTGGTGCAGGTGGTGTAGAACGAAGTACATGAAGCAATGAGTGAAGGTGGTTATAGTTGGGATCCTCTGAGAATGCAAGTGAGTGCGTGTAAATGAGAATTGTTGCAAACTCAACAGGAATTCCATGACATAAATCTTTGATGGTGGTGTTCACTTTGCGCTTGAGTATGGAAGCGCTGGAAAGTTTCTCTTGGTCACTGGTTAACCATGGAAGGGAGCCCTGCAAGAAGTATATCAACATGTACGTAAGTCACTTGATATCGTCACGATGACCTGGTTCAACTCCCAAGTGATTGTTGATTGACACAAATGCAGGAGTGCCAGTGAGATGTTGACCTTGGTGAAATGGGATATGGACACTGGTTGACATATTCCAGAATTCCTTTGCGATACTGAAATCAATAATAAAGGCGGTGTGCCTCAAATTGCCAAGACCCAGAACAACATTCTGTGGTTTGATGTCACCGTGAATATAACTGTGCAAGTGAATGTATTCGAGACGTGAGAGCTGGGGAAAGGGGTTAGTGATCTGTACATGCAACCCGCACACCGACTGACCAGCTGATCTCCTAGATTTATGACAGTGTAAAGGCTGAATTTTTGGCTGTGGGAAAGGAAGAGACTATGCAGGGATGGCCCAAGGAGATCGAGAACGAGAGCATGATATATCGACTCCTTACCGAACCAGAGGGCATGGGGAATACCAACACCACCTTCAAGGTGTTTCAAAATGTTGTATTCACGCTGCACAGAAGATGAGCGGGTGATGGGTTCAAGTTTGACAGCAACTGCATCATCCTTTATGATGTTCCGTGCACGATACACAACAGCTAATGGGGTCCAAATGTCAAATTCAACATGTAGTCAGTAATCATGATATGTAAATAACATACCATACGAGCCGGATCCCAATACATCTCCTAGCCTAAATCTTCCATCAACTCAAACAGGGACCTTATCCATAGTGTATACAAGTAACAATAGCCCACGAGTAGAGAAATCCAGGGGATCCAACTAACAACACTGGAGGCAACAAAAAAGCTATTCTTCCACCCAACTGCATAGCTTGAGCTGGCTTAAAGCGGTTCAAGCTGCAGTTCATAAATTTTTGGCTTGTAAAAGTTGTAGCTGGTTCACACAACTAATGAATCGGACCAAGTCAGTGATCAGTGGCTTGGCTAACGGGTATTGCCAAACTTCTGGCAAACCAGTAAATACCGAACCAGAGCCAGCCATAGCCGAGCTGTGGCACTAGTACTCTGTTCCCACAGTTTTTCTCATGGTTTGAAGTTGATGTCTTATAGTCAGTTTAATGTTCATGCCGCATCATGCTCAGCAAGCTCTCTCAACATTTCAATTATCTACTAAAAAATTTCACCGATGTATCAGTGATTGTGCGCATTGATGGATTTCAATTGAAATCACAAGTTTCTTCCACTTTTCTGCATGACCACAATATTCCACGTTCTGTTGTGGAATCCTCTTTAGGACCTGTTTGTGTGCCTACCATCAATGGCTGGTATCTCTCGCAGCAACCATTCCAAGCGACTTATCTTTGTGGTTGCGACGTAACTCTTGACTGTGATTGGTTGCAGTCCAGCTTCGTCTGGTGTTCTGATTATCGTGTGGTGCGACTAGATGGTTGGGCTGTGCCCAGAGTGTTAACTCTGGGAGGGACACGAGTGTGGAAGCCGCCAGGCGGGCGGGCTCGCACACTGTGAATTCATTGCACCATGCAAGGCAGACAATGCAATCTAATATCCAGGCAAGGAGGCTGTACATAGGTGTGTAATAACTAGACACTAAGGACTCAATACAAGGGAGGGCGGGAGGGTGAAAATAAAGTATGATTAGAGGCTGTAAGCTAGGGGTCGCTGACCACGGTAGGCATTGGTCTTGTTAGCGTGTTGGACGTTGAGAGAAGAAAATTGATGTGGCTGTGCGTGCACTCAGCTGGACGTTAGGTGCCGGTTCCTTCTGCAGGCTACAGGAACTGGCACTGAGACATCCAGCTTCGTCTGGCATTCTGATTCTCATGTGGTGCGACTAGATGGTTGGGCTGTGCCCGGAGTGTTAACTCTGGGAGGGACACGAGTGTGGAAGCCGCTTACCCACATGCGGGACTCCCTGCGGCTGACGAAGTGGCCAGCATGCCCAACCCGAGTGCTGCAGTTCAATGCACCCGATCAGCAAGACCGGCGAGATGGTAAGATGCGACCTGCTCGAATGCCCTGATGTAGGCTTTGTACACTAGTGAGCGCCAGTGCCCTGCCAGACGTACTATTTTGGGGTCGACTTTTTGGGACAGGTAGAATGAGGCTCCACCAATGCAAAAGGAGTGGCCGAATGTAGTGCCCCAGCCATGGGCAAGCAGGATGTTGTTGATGCACTCGATCACGCAGGTACGCACCATAGGACGTGTGTCACCACAGAAATCTCGCCAAGAAAACAAAGGGTCGGCAGCGAGTGCAGGAATGATGTGTGCGAGGTTGCACAGAGCAGCTAGTGGGCAGAGGTCCCCTTGCTCTGTCAGGAACACGGACTAGGTTTCCCCAGGCTGTGCAGTCTTAGCAGCGGGTAAGTCTAGACGAGCATATGCCTGGCCGAGTAAGTTGGTGCCAAAAAAGGCATTATGACGTGTGAGGTGATGTGTGGGGGAGAAGTCAGAGCGCGACCCCACAGATATTTCGCCAAAACGCATCATGCCAAAGAAGGCACAGCTGGCCATTGCCCAGACGCAGGCGTCGAAGGGGTCATTGAGCCACAGGCAGGCCTTGAGTGTCAAGAGCATAATGAGAGTGATAGGGGGGTGCCTAGGTTTGCGGCAGGCAGTGTACATATTTTCGAGACTGCGCAAAGACCAATTAATGCGTTGGTGGTCATCATGGGACAAGGGTGAGGGCCAACCCTGTGTGATGTGCCAAGCTCGCACAGCTGCGAGGTACTTCCTCACGACGGTGACTGAGACTGGTTCAAATGGTTGCAGTGCAGCTCTGAGTACAGGGTCATCTGGTGTAGGGTCTGTGGCTGCCCACAGTGCAAACGAGTGCAGGACGGCGAAGGGAGCAGGTAGGTGAATGTCCTCAGGCATGGAAAAAATGTTGCAGAAGAGGTGGAATTTGCGAAGCCCAGACCCGTACCCAGAGGTGTCACAGTAGGGAAGCCCGGGATGCAACACTAGTGAGGTAGTGCAAGATGGGGTCATCTAGTGTCCCCAGGGGGGCAGTGTTTACCCCCCGCCAGCGAAATATGCATTCAGCAGCCTTGCAAGGAGGTCGTAAGGGGGATGCACGAAGGGCAAGATGTCCTCTCGTATCCACAGGCCATGGTGCCATCATTATAATGGGGTTAAGAAGCCAAGGAGGTGCTCTGGCAGAGGACACAATGTCTTGGTGGTGATGGACGGGAAGTTGTGCAGGAACACCGACACCTCGCCGCGGGATAGAGCATCGGCAATGTTGTCTGCAGGAAGTGACGTGCACAGTATGGAGGTGAACACCTAGTGCGGCTTGGAGTGCATACACGTGTTTCAGGACTGTGTTGGTTGTAGCACTGTGTGAGCACCCCTTTCGTGTCACTGCTACAACTCCAGCATTGTCCGAATTCACCAGGAACACATGGCCCGCAGGGCCATGTAACAGGCCTAGGTGGGATGCGAGTCTCAGGCCAAGTTCAACAGCCACAGCCTCCGCCCAGCCAATGTTGAACCGGAGCCCAGGCCCAATGCGGAACCCAGGTGCCCACCTCCAGGCTGCCCAGTGTTGGCCAATTATGAGGCCAACTCCGAAGGATGTGCTGGCATCGCCCAACCAACCAAGGTCGATAGGTGTAGGGTTGCATAGGGGCACTGAGGGGGGGAGGGAACGTAGCAGCCTGAGGACCCAAGGTAGGTCTGCCAGGAGCTTGGCTGGCAGGCGCAGCCACATGCATGGAGAAAGGAAGGAGCTCGTGAATGCCGAGATTGAGCGTAGGAATGGCCGGATGAGGCGGAAGATGCAGGACACATGCACCAACTTGCCATGCAAACTGTTTGCATCTGACATGGAGAACCTTGCACCTGCAATGAGCCAGGATTCGACGAGGGAGATCACACTGCTGAGTTTCTCCTCCAGCAAGGCAACGGTCCTCGATGTAAGGTCCCAGTTGAAGCCAATGTAGCGCTGGATGGCAGAGAATGGGTGAAGCTTCTCGACGCTCCATGGTACGCCAAGTTGGGCAGTAAACTGCATGAATTCAGCTTTGGACCAGGTGTGGTGTGGTAGGCGGACAACAAAAAAATTGTCCACCCATTTCCGTAGTGGACCAAAGTCCGCGGCACAGTAAAGGGCTGCAAGCATATCCACAATGGACCCAAACACCCCAACACTTGATGACAGCCCAAACATTACTGCCCGGTCTACATAGACCAGGCCTCGCCAGAAAATGCACAGGGCATTCTGCTGGTCTGGGCGAACAGGCGTAATGCGGTAGGCTGCAGAGATGTCGAATGTTGCAGCTACACACCCAGCAGGGAGTGACAGGACAAGGGCTGTGGTGTCGTCGAAAGTCCCCCACTCGCATGGGAATTCGTCAGAGTCGATGCCAGCATTGACAGAGGCAAGTGAGGGGTTGTCTCGTGGGAATGACATGTCCTGCACAATTCTGAGTTTCGTGGAATGGGGCTTAGGAACCAGTCCCAGTGGGGAGGTGTGGAAAGGACCTATCAAGGCTTCTAGGTCTTCTGGTAGAAAACTGGTGGACTACCGACCTGCGGCTTGTTCGGATGCAATGTAGTCGTCGATTACAGACGGGTTCACCGAGGACGAACGATGGTTCTGAAGGATACATATTTCAATAGGTGCAGTACAAATACCAACATCAAAGCCCTCATGGAAGCCAGCCAATACATGGGCCCAATCATTTTTATATTATATTTACAAAGCAAATACTCAACCCTGTCCACATCAAGGGGGGTTACGACGGAGCGTGGATCTCGCTCAGGCATGGGACCTGCAGTCTGCAGCACCATGTCAGGTGTCTCTGCAGATGCTGCACCCATGGAAATGGGTGCACTCGGTGCCAAAGGTGCAGGAGGATTCCCTAGCCCAGGCAAAGCAGAAAGGTTTGCCGGAGGGACTCGTGAGGGCATGGCGACTGCGGGCATTGGTGGCAAGTGGGGCAACAGGCTTTCCAGCAGAGGTTGACTCTGCGGAGCAGTCACCAGGCATGTGGCCTGTTCCCCCACAATGAAAGCAAGTGGAGGAGCGAGGTTTCTTGCGAGTGGGGCCCTGGTCGTCTGCAGGAGCCCGGTGTGTCGAGCCTGAAGCTGAGGCTACCATGTGCTGGCATGGGCTCAACTGTGCAGGTGCTTGCTGGTTCAACAGGACAGCCTTGCCAACAACAAGGGTGAGCGCAGTGTGGTCTACACCTGTGAGGTTGTGGCTATGGTTGTCAGCAGCAAGGTTCCTCTGGTAAATATCGTAGTCCACGGCAACTTGCCATGTGTGCCAGTGGGCAATGTTGGTTACAGCCTGGTGGTGGGAAGTGAGTGCTGCTGCTTGCTTGTTGCCATGGTAATGGCGGGTGCGCTCCACCGCTACCTGGGAGGCTGCCGTCCATTGTATGGCTGTGATGCTACATTCCAGGCTGCGGTCCAAGCCCTTGGCAGTCAGCCCACCTTGGGCATTCACGATAAAGGATCCTTCACCTGCCAGGGCCTGGCTATGTGCCTCGCGTGTGAGCACAGTGTAGGGCACATAGCGGTAAAGGCGGAAGGCTTCATCAACCTTTGCAGGCACCACTGGTGACAATTGTAAGTTCAGGTTTATCTGGGATGACGAGATTGGGTCGTCTAGTGCGCCCCTCACGAATGATGAACAAAGATAGACGGGGTGGGCCTTCAGCCCAGACATGAGCAACGATGGTGGCCTTCAGCCCAGACGTGAGCAACGATAGTGGCCTTCAGCCCAGACACGAGCGACGATAGTGGCCTCCAGCCTGACACTAATGAAGAGGGCCTCCAGCCCAGCAGACCAACACTTACCTAGTTCAAGAGTGCTTGCTTTGAAACCTGGTTGCAAGGGCGACAGGGTGGGGGTGTTGGTGTCTTCTTTGCGGGTGGAGAACAGGTTCCGGATGTTCTCTACTGTGCTTGGCACAGCTACAAGCGGGTGGCTCGTAGAGGGGGGCAGGGTCGTGCCCTCAAGTTGTGAGAGCCGGTTGAGTATGGCAGCCAGTGTGGCTTCAACAGATGCTGTTGGTGGAGGAATGGTGGGAGCGCTTGGCACTGCAGCTGACGCGGTTGGCGTCGTTGTGGCTGCTGCTGGTGAGGCAGTTGCCGCAGAAGCGGTGGTGCCTGTGGTTGGCGCGCCGTTAGAGGCGGCTACAGCAGTGGTTACAGGTGTGGCAGTGGTTACGGGTGCAGGTGCAGCAGTGGTCACAGGTGCAGCAGTGGTTGCGTGTGCAGCAGGAGGTGCAGGTGCAGCAGGAGGTGCAGGTGCAGCAGGAGGTGCAGGTGCAGCAGGAGGTGCAGGTGCAGCAGTGGTTGTGGGTGCTGCTGCAGTGGTGGTAGGGGCTGCAGAGGAGGCCACAGGCCCAGGCATGGCGCTGGCAGCGCTGGGAAGGGCAAGGTTGAGGTGTTGGTGAGTCATAGGTGAAGTAGTGTGAATAAGGATGAAAATAAAGTATGATTAGAGGCTGTAAGCTAGGGGTCACTGACCACGGTAGGCATTGGTCTTGTTAGTGTGTTGGACGTTGAGAGAAGAAAATTGATGTGGCTGTGCGCACGCTCAGCTGGACGTTAGGTGCCAGTTCCTTCCACAGGCTACAGGAACTGGCACTGAGACATCCATTTGCCCTGCATTTCCATGTGATGCATATATCACCTGAAAGAAAAAATGTAGCGGGCTCTGCCACAGGGACCGACTTTGGTCAGGATACAAGGACCGAAAGAACCATGTGTGACCAGGACTGAACTGTCCGTGTTTTACAAGGATTACCTGATTGGGAAACCACATGAGTTCTCTTTTTTCTTTTCAGATCGCCCCAAAGCGGTAGTGGCTGAGTACTACTGCCTAAAACATTACTCGATTAGGTAGTCTCAATAATATCAATGTTTCCCAGACTCCCCAAGCCTCCCCCTGCTCCCTCCTGTGTAGTAGGCTCATATATATAATGCATATTAGCCATTATATACCTAATAGAACATACTTGACTGCTTTTATTTGCTACCAGCTACCATTAGGCAATTAGTTCTATTAAAACAATATAATTCGCATTTTTAACGATTTTATGTATCATCATACACTGTACATGGGACTATATACTTATATTTATGCTATACACACTCTAGATGACATTTTAACACAGTCTCATAGCTCCAGGAGGCCGATGGTTTGATTTCATAGGGATAGGGGACATGTGAGAAGATCAGTGTTCTGGAGGATTAATCAAACATATATTTGAGATCTGAGAGTTAGAACACATGTAATACACCTATAGGCGACCAGTGATACACTCCTGAGCAATCGGACACTAAGCTAAGAGTTGTGGAAGGAATGTAGAGGTGGGACATGCATGGGAAAGTATACAAAACATATGAAAAAGACATAAAAACATATCATAGCGTGCTACAAAATGCCCCCCATGATCTAAAATATGTGTAGTATGATAGGGGGATATCAGAAATACTATTTTCGATGTTTCAATTGTGACACAAGGTCACTTGTATGTCTAGATACTAAAAACTCGAGATTTGGTATAGGCTTCTGTAGGGAATAGTGTGCACTATGACAAGAAAGCTCAAATCAACATATATACCTGTAGAATCAACCTGTAACACTTCAACAACATTGAAAATAGTATTTCTGATATCCCCCTATCATTCTACACATATTTTAGATCATGGGGGGCATTGTGTAGCACGCTATGTTATGTTTTTATGTCTTTTTCATATGCTTTGTATACTTTCCCATGCATGTCCCACCTCTACATTCCTTCCACAACTCTTAGCTTAGTGTCCGATTGCTCAGGAGTGTATAAATGGTCGCCTATATGTGCATTGCATGTGTTCTAACTCTCAGATCTCGAATATATGTTTGATTAACCCTCCAGAACACTGATCTTCTCATATGTCCCCTATCCCTATGAAATCAAACTATCGGCCTCCTGGAGCTATGAGACTGTGTTAAAATGTCATCTAGAGTGTGTATAGCATAAATATAAGTATATAGTCCCATGTACAGTGTATGATGATACATAAAATCGTTAAAAATGCGAATTATATTGTTTTAATAGAACTAATTGCCTAATGGTAGCTGGTAGCAAATAAAAGCGGTCAAGTATGTTCTATTAGGTATATAGTGGCTAATATACATGATTTATATGAGCCTACTACACAGGAGGGAGCAGGGGGAGGCTTGGGGAGGCTGGGAAACATTGATATTATGAGACTACCTAATCGAGTAATGTTTTAGGCGGTAGTACTCAGCCACTACCGCTTTGGGGCGATCCGAAAAGAAAAGAGAGAACTCATGTGGTTTCCCAATTGGGTAATCCTTGTAAAACACGGACGGTTCAGTTCTGGTCACACACGGTTCTTTCAGTCCTTGTAATTCCATCAGCGGTTATCCCCTGCCGCGTGTGGCCCTTCGCGTTATATTATAATGGTATGTTACCTTTTTCCGACAACGCGTGACAAATGAGCATCGTGTGATGACGTGGACATATGAATTATAGCGTTATATCTGCACATTTGTTATTTGCGCGTTCTGCAGCTTGTGCGTTTTCGTCAAGAGTTTCCGTGGTTTCGTCAAGAAGTTCCGCACTCCCGCACTGCGCGTTTTCATTGAGAGCTTCTGCGTTTGCGTGTTCAAGTCTCTGCTAACCAAGTCGCAAGTTATGCGGAGCTAACTTAGCGGCTCACGCAGCAACATGGTTTTTTCAAATACATGCTGTCTTGAAACACCCACAAAACGAGCAAGACAACTGCCATTGAAGCCTCAGATGTCGCCCCTCGATTCTCCTGTCACCTATTTTTCTTCCTCTCAACCATCCATTGTCTCCTCGCCCCAACCAGCACACTGTGACAGGTTTCAACACGCCAACCACGCCTAATCCACATTCTGTGGGGTGGGGACATTTAATCTCCTTTGGTCCGCACATGTCTATTGAAATTTGAGATGGTTGTGACGAACTTGACAGAAGGTGAGTTTGAAATTACGAGGCGCAAGCGCTAGCGCTTGGTCAAATTTACTTATATGCTTGTCTCTTTCTGACATTCTTATCAGCTCTTTGCTTCTTCCCCTGCTGCACAAGCATCCATGAATCACAAAGAACAAGTCATACCCGACATTACGATTGAACGACCGCAGAAGGCATTGGATCATGCTATAAATTTACACTCGACGTCAACTAGAAAGCTCGACAAATGCGACCGGGCAGGTTCGTCATCTTCACTCCATCCCAGTTACTTAGTGTAACATTCAGACTCCTCGTCTAGAGGATGTCGTTGCCCAGACCATTCACGACGCTGGATTGGCGCACAATTTCTACAACCAGAATGCTGCAGCCTTAGACTCGGCATCTGACGCGATGGTCGTGGACATCTCAAAGAAGAATGCGACCGACTTTCTTGGAGAGGCAAAGAAGTTGATGGATGCCCTAGATGTTCTGCAACAGGTCCACCCGTTTGTTGGTGGTGTGTATCTCACTTGTCGATGTTTCCACCTCGGCCAACAGATAACTTGCAGTGGCTATACTCGCTTTCAAGGCTGTCGTCAATCTTGAGCTAACGCGAAGGGAAAATGATCGTAGAGTTGGATTGATGATCGCTCAGGCATCTGATATGATGACCATGCTTCTCCAGTTTGTGGTTGATGCCAATCTCGAATGGCTTTTGTTGATTCAATTCGTTGGTAGACTTAAGGACACTAGAGACCCTGCCATCGTGGGACCTCACGGTGAAATTCGGGGGCGACTGCAACGTGTCACAGACGGCATCAAGAAAGATATCGAGGATTGCGGAAATGCCATTGACAAATACTACAAGTCAAAATTCATTGGTTTGTTTCCCTCGGAATGCTAGATGTTTCATATTGAGAACCTCCCTCCCAGTGAAATTCTTCAGATCATCTCACTGGGCGAGCGAGTTCCTGAAACTTTGCAGCAGCTTTTCCCAGTGCGCCCAGGACCTCCAGCTCGCCTTGAATATCAGGACGACGTTAAGAGTTGACATTGCAATCGATAAGCTGGAGAAACTGATCCAGCGGCCAAGCGAACGCGAAGCAAGATTCGAGAAAGAAGTGCAAATGCGCGGTGGAAAGGAGAAGTGTTATGGAAGCCAAGAAATAATGGTAGAGCTACTGAAAATTGCCGAGCATCGGGAAGCACGTCCACAGAATACAGCATATCCCGATCCTTCCTCCAAAGATGTCAACAAGCCTGCTTCCAAGACCGCTTCGGCGAGCGGATCGGTCGATGAGAAGTCCCGCCTTGATGCCTCGCTACTTTACGAACTGTATGCTGATTTACGCATCTTGCTCGACGAGAACCGCGCGCTCTTCATGTTCAAGCTTGACAGGCAGACATCTGACATCAAAGATGCTATAATGGATTCTGAAGCGCGCATCATATGGGCCTTCAACAACAGATTCCAACGGGTCAAGGATCCAGTAAGGATCAGCAAACTCAACCACATGCATTGCTAACTTGGGTTATTTCACCAGCACCTCCAATATATCTGGAGAGAAATGGTATGTTTCTGTGCGGTAATGAACGAAACGCATACTTATCATCACCAAGAAATGGACAACAAATGTCAAGGTGCTATACTTCATCGCGGAACTCTATGACTATTACGTGAATCGTTTCTCCCACCGCCGTCATGATGCTCTACGCCCACAAGTGACATCGGATGCTTCATCTTTGATGGTGCGATTTCCATCCCCAACACCTACTGTCTCCGTCACCTCGGATTCAGAAGGAGAAGATCACGAGATTCCAGCAGTAGATCCCGCATACCACGAGCTTCCTGCAGTTGACCCTGCAGACAAGTGGTGCTTGAAATACTTGAGCGTTTTCTATGTTCCAAGTTTATCGGAAGGCTTCGATGGCGATGCAAACGGTTTGGTCAGCATAAGGGAAGTGAATGCCTTTACTTCTGCGATACCTTCGGGCTGGAGTCTGCCGCAAGCACTTGCGTACTGGGCTGCAGGTGAGGATCACTATCATCACGTTGAGCCTGCATTATTCACATCAGCGAAGGGTGGAGAGTGGATAGCCAATATTACCACACGCGAATTGAACAGATCTTGGACAGCATGATTTATGTGCAAGCAGATGCGCTTCCAGAAAATTGGAGGTGTATCATCAGATACTTGCATTCATATCCTATTCGTGGTTTGTCCCTTGTCGCTCTGCTCACCTTTTTGCGGGGCATTTACATGGTAGACAGGTATCAAATGTCTTGTCCGTTCTCTTACAGAGCTTGGAACAGAGAACTCGGACTTGGATCTCACGCGATTGGTTGCTCGGCGTCGCACGGCTCAGGAGCAAATGTTAGCGGATAAGCTTAACATCGTGAAGTATGAAATTGACTCCACGGATTCTATCAAACTCTTCGGATCTGGTCGCATCGAAAATGTGAGTTATTTACTCAGTGCTTGTGCTGGATGCTCACTTGAGTGCTTGTTAAGTTTTTGCTACCTTTGCTTTACCTAGTGACCAGGAGGCATTTACAGATCATGAAACTCGCCAGCACAGTAATTCTGGCTGAGAGAGAACTCGAGTCTGCAACTCAAACGATAGAAAATATCCTGGAGGGGGTGTCTCTGCGTGTGGAGCAACTGGCAGGTACGCTTCCAAACTGTAACGTGATGAGCCATTCCCTTCCACAATCGCAGAATCATTCCGTCAGCAGGGAAATGATCCGAAAGTAAGATTCACTTGGTATGCGTATGGATTGGTGCGTGGAGACAGCAGGATTATACTGATTCGCGGGTCTGACGCTGTCTGCAACAGTACAATTTTTGGTACAGTCCAGGACTGATCACAGACGACACCGAATACTGGCAAACCCACGATTTCGGGTTTGACGAGACTGAGCTGGAGATCGATACGACAGCACTGAAGTTTGGTCCCTTCAGTCTGACAAAGGACAATAATCCGTTGGAAAGACTGCACTTCGTTGCATTTTATCCCGGTCAGCAGCCTCAAGACACGAGGGAAGAATATATCTATTTGTGGTGCATGAATGAGCTCCACAATAGGCGGAACATCTGGCAGCTCTATATCCCACCTTACCTATCGTTGAAAGACAAAGAAAGGTTTGATATCCTATCCCAAGAGCAACCGCCCGCAGACATCAAGAGCTGGAATTCATTAGCCGAACTCCACATGCGCAGGCGACTGTTCGAGTGAGTCCAGCTGTCTATCTATCATTATTCTTCAACCATCTACTTTTCCGGTATTCAGGCCTTTGTGTGACGCATGCCATCACTTTGTCAGTGACGTCCTTCACCGTTGTATAGACTGTGAGCGCAGTGAGTGTGATGGAGACAATCCTCCTACGCGAGACGACTGACCTTCTTGCATATAAAGATGACTATGATTTGTGTGTAGAATGCGAATCTCTACCGGTTTCAGAACATCAATACCCATCCGACCACAAGTCGACGCACAACATGCTTGTTTTCCGCATGTCGCTACCGCATAGTTGCTACTATCGAGTCCAGTGGCATGCTAGGAATTATTTGTCTGCTTATATGTCCAATGCACCACCACCAGAAGGGCCATCGACTGTGCAAGAAGACGAATCTCGGATACAATCAAATGAGACAGAACTTCCGCCTTCGACAGAGGTCACTCAAACGGATGTGTCTTGCGCCCCCCTCGATTCGCCGGCAGACGACGAGGAGTTAAGTGGAGACTCGGAAGCGGCATCCGGGGGGATAGTTGAAGTTGAAACCTCAGTTGCGGATGGGGAGGCTTATACTTGTGCTGAATGTGGCGTTGAGATGAAGGGCATCTTTTATGTATGCCTTACCTGCGGAGGTCAGATTTCTATTCCTCTAAAGGAGCACGAAGCTTGATAACCATTACAGAAATCCAGACCGTCCATTGCCTTATGTGGCGATTGTGCGTTCCGCGATGTATTCAATGTGGTCACAGCACATCCACCCTCACAAACACTGGCTGGTCAAGATTAAAGACATTGTTGAAGACGCAGGTGGAGCATCAGACGAACCTCCCGATGACTCGGACGAGACAAGTTCGCTTTCCTTACGAGTCGACAAGCTGGCTGCAATGGTGGAATCTCGCTTTACTGAGCAGGATCGCCGCCTTGATGCACTTATCACGCAGGTTGATCTACTCGTGCGTAGTCTAGCTGGATCGACGGGAAAAGCACAGCTTCCCTTGGAGTCCGTCTCGGTTTGATTGGTTCGTAAATTGTCAGGCTGTCATTCTGATTCTCGTGTATGGTGTAGATGAACGCTAACTTGCAATGTACCTCGCATAAGCAAATGGTGAAATAACGACGTCCATTAATATTGCCACGAATTACGGAATGTTATCTCCGGCCTTGCATGTAGCGTGCGATCACAGTCTATACACAGATCGCTACAACAATAGTCAGTTCAATTCAGTGAAGAGTCATAAAATATGTTGGTAACCGCTCCAAACACATCCACATGTAGCACAGATCGAGCTGAGGAAGCGAAAGACTTGTTCGTCATACGCCACCCAATCCTTCAACGGCCACGAATAGCGGTGTAAGGCTTTCTAACTACATCGCTGTATCTTGTATTACAACCAGGACTGTGTAGCCAAGAGGGCAGCAGATAGAATCGTACATCCATCAGTACCTTGATTTCGAATGAGTCGATGCGGATTCAAACCTACCCATCTGGCACATGCGTCTCTAGGAATTCCGGACATGTCAATTTCAAACCTTAACGTGGAGTTTCACAGTCTGAACTCCCTTTCCCTCCGTGAGCCTCTACCAGAAGTACTGTTTTTAGACACACTGGAAAGCTAGGCGAGGAAAGACCAAACACGACGCGCCATTGCCACTCAGAACCCAGATAAAAGCGAAGGTGCCATAGACGTCCTGCAGGGATTGGCGTCATAACATCGACGTGAGGAAAACCCGAGAGACATGGACCACACGCCTCATGCAGCATATTCAGTTTACTTGCTGTGTAATGCGCAAACTGTTTCTGGAACATCCTGATGCGGAAAGAAGCAACGAACTGGTTGCGATCCGGTTTACCGCCTTCACCCACCTGAACCTCATCTGGCGGGCAGCCCAAAAAGCGTTTCCAAGACTCATCCTTGACTGATAAATGCGTCATACATCAATAAATGTACTCACCAAGTCGGCGCTTACCATCAATACTTCCAAAATTCAGCTGCGTAAAAAATACATGGTTGCTGGTTTCCATACATGCAAGGCGCAACTCGGAAGAACAAGCAGACGAAAATTCGGAAATCAATCCAGAAAGGGCCGACAAGGTTTCTCGCCGATCACTCACAACTGCCCAATCTCGATATTAAGCGTTTGCAGGAGGTCAAAGAACTGTGCAGCTGCGAGAGCAGTGGCGCAGGCATTGGCAGTTGAGGCAACAGAGGAAGAGGTATCACCAGGAGCAGAGACAAGATCACGGATACGAGGCAGAGCAGCGGTACGTTCCCGCTTGGTTGATAGAAAGGAGAATACTACGAATGGTGGTCTGCATTGGATGAAATCTGCTGTCAATGCGGACGTAGAAAGTTGTCGTACGAGGGAGGTGCATTAGCAACGGACTTGCTATCAAAGGTTTCGGACTCAGTAGTCATTATGACGGAGCAAGAAAGATCCTTCGACAAGGAAATGGGGGCATCGTGCCAAGGATTGCAAAACAACAATCAGGATAGGAGCACCCGGCTCGAAGACCCGACGAAGGAAAGAAAAATGAAATGCACGAAGCAACACTGCAGACTAAGAACCTCACAATGATGATCAATCACTTACCTTTCGCATTCCACAATGAACCATTTCAAAGACAACGAAACACGTGTCAATTAGGTGATCCTGTGCAAGAACCGTCAACTTTTTGCTCATGATCAGCTTAGATTCGGGGTGCAAACCATAGACCCGTACATACAATAGTAGGAATATCAGCGCAGGAACCGAGTACTTGGCAGTAGGTGGAAGACATGAACGAGCGAAAGAAACCAAGCACGTGCGAAAAAAAGAAATACTAGGGAGACCGCTGTAGCGGAAATGGATCATCCAAGGGCTATCCAACCACACAACTCCATCTTCTGACTGATCTCCGTCGGCATCCTCAACACGCTTTCCTTGTGCAACTCATTGATATTGAACCTCTCTGAGCACAGCACAAACCTCCCTCCCTCTCGTCCTGTGAATATAAACACAGTCGGCGGTCGCTCCGCACGGAAATAGTACATCGTCGATGAGCACGTGTCGATGAGCGTGAACACGTGTCCCGCTAACGATATTATACCTCATGGCTTGGTATCGAGGACGCAACGTGTTGCAACAATCAGTGACATTTATCGTCTTCTTGGAACCAAGCCTATTTCAACAGACCATGTGGTATTATATAGTTGTTCCTCCGAATAAAGACCATCGAGAATGGTAAATATAGATAATAGTACTCCTACTACCAGTCATATTGGCCAAATAACCGATGGGGCTTTTGCGCAGCTGTACCCTACGGAGCATGAAAGGCGCTCAGGTGCCAGCCAAACTTCAGAGCGTGAGAGGCTTGCGGTGGACTAGGCGGGGGATGTAGTAGGCATTAGAGGCGAGGGCGGGATGAAGTATTGAGAATCGCTGGGGAATCTTAGTAGGCTTGGCACCAATACAATCGTTTGGTGTCGGTCAAGCGAGCGTTGTTTGATTTACAGCCTCAGTTGAGACTTTTACATCGCTCAGACATGCTGGATGGTATGAGGGTGGACAAAATTCGAGACTTAGATTTGAACTTGTAGAACTGCGGTCAGGTTCACGACGAAATCAAAATCAAACATCCCCAATGCATTCGTGTAAACTGAATCCAGCTAGTATCGGCAAATCTAAAGTCAGGTATCGCTGTCGACACCTCCAAGTTGCGTCTGAGACTCTGTACTAGACGTTGTGGCTGGTTTCAGGTTTAAGAACGGTTTGCTTAACTGATCGGCGGCAAAGAATCGTAAGGCCCTTGGATATTCGTTCAAAGTAAAGGACTTACCAGCGCCTGTGGAGTTCGGCGAGGCTATGTTGATCGCTACATGCTCGTGAAGCGTGTTACCACTGAATACGACGCTGTCACGACCGAATTCTACTGGAGCTAACTGTATAGCGGACGGACGCTCTAAGGTGGCGGGCTGAGCAGCTCGGGTAACGCGTTCTAACTTGCTCACGGCTTCAAGTCAAAGGTGAGTCTAAATGGCAAGTCGCATATGCGAAGAACTCACTGGACCCGGTAGAGTTACTGGAGAAGATATTAATCGTCACGCCCTCACCAAAGTTGTTATTGTATAGGACTACCTTGCGGTCGTTTGAGTCCAGCTTTTGACTCGGCAGGGGAGTTTCATCACCCATCATTGGGGTCTGACCGGGCGAATCTGGCGTTATGTTAGTATGGCACAGCAAAGGTAAATATGTTGGAGTACTGGGGTCGTATACGCAGGTAGCCATCGTAGATATGCAAGGGTTGATCAGGCAAAAGTTGAACAGGAAAGAGTGGAAGAAAGAGATGCTTAACGACAGGTAGACATACAAAAATCGCATCTTATCTGAATGCCTTGGTTGTGGCTCCCGATATGGTCTGAAATCCGAACCAAATCACCTTCGAGATAAACACGCGGTTCACATTCCAGAGCAGGCATTCCCAATTCGATGTAAACGGTCGTCGGGACGCTCCGGTCTACGTACTTCCAGTCACGTTAATATGCCCAAGTACATCATGATAGCTGGCACTCTCATGATGAAGACATATTTGAATCCCCGAGGTGCATTTTCACGGTCACTATACCAAGAGTATTCACTGTGATAAGAGTGGTTTCCTCCGCGGGGCCGCGGTCGCCCTGGTTATGTCATGTGCCCCACGAGGTTGCATGAACGTATGTGCATCGTGCATGACTCCCGGAACCCGTGCACCGCAAAGGTCGGGGGTTTGCGGATATCACGGGTTTTTGCAGGGTTTGACAGTGCCAGGGGGATGTTGAGCACAGCCCAGATAGCGATAGTCATCAGAGCAGTCATTAGTCAAGGACGCGGATAGACTCTGCAAAGGTCGGGGGTTTGCGGATATCACCATCGTGCACTACAAGGCCGGGTGTTTGCGAGTATCGCGGGTATTTGTAAATGCCAGGGAGAGCCCGGAGTACAGCGATGGCCATCAGGGTAGTCATCCCCAACTTCCCACGGAGTAGGAGGAGGGTTTTGTCGGATTGATTAGTCAGGGACGTAGATGGACTGCTGTCATCTTCTGTGAGCTCGGCAGATTGACACGCCTCTTACTATGCATGAGATGAAATCATGTGTCCATGAAGAAGGCGACCTGGAGGATCACATAACATTGTGAATAACACAACGAGGTGTGAGCTCAAACCTGTCAAAGGAAGGCGTAAGGCGAGACAGCAGGTCAACAACACGAAGGTAAGGATGAACAGAAACTCACGGTGGGTGTTGAGTGACGGTAAAACGAGAAAACAGTGACGGCGGTGAGCTCAAGCGTTGGCTGCATAAGTGCGAGGGATTGTAAGAATACGCACGGAGTTTACAAGTCACAGAACAAGCACTCTGCATTGCGGGAGTGGTACCGAGAGATGAGGGAGGGACAGCGTTGGCAGGGTTTAAAAAGGTCTTTATACCACATTAGGAACGAACTACCGGTTTTGTTTATAAATCATTTTTAGGCAATCCAATTTGCCATTTCAAATCAGAATGTCTCACTAAGGTTGTGCAGACCTTTTTAGGCTCCTGCTTGGCTAAAAGGTCTTCATCGACTGCGTTAAGATTAAATTCTCATTCAGTAACTCCGCACTAAGCTCCTGCAAACCGAACTACTTACTGGGCCTGGCGTTGATGATGGAGGTACGATTCTATCTGCTGCCATTGGCAAAAAATGACTTATCGTTCCTAATGGGGTATTAAAGACCTTTTTAGGCAATCATGCATCGGGGATGTTTGATTTTGATTTCGTCGTGAACCTGACCGCAGTTCTACAAATTCAAATCTAAGTCTCGAATTTTGTCCACCCTCATACCATCCAGCATGTCTGAGCGATGTAAAAGTCTCAACTGAGGCTATAAATCAAACAACGCTTGCTTGACCGACACCAAACGATCGTATTGGTGCCAAGCCTACTAAGATTCCCCAGCGATTCTCAATACTTCATCCCGCCCTCGCCTCTAATGCCTACTACATCCCCCGCCTAGTCCACCGCAAGCCTCTCACGCTCTGAAGTTTGGCTGGCACCTGAGCGCCTTTCATGCTCCGTAGGGTACAGCCGCGCAAAGCCCCATCGGTTATTTGACCAATATGACTGGTAGTAGGAGTGCTATTATCTATATTTACCATTCTCGATGGTCTTTATTCGGAGGAACAACTATATAATACCATATAATCTGTTGAAATAGGCTTGGTTCCAAGAAGACGATAAATGTCACTGATTGTTGCGACGGTGTAAGCCAGTTGGCGGACCCAAAGGGCTTGAGCTCATGACACAATTGGCCGCGCAAGTACTCGCCACCTTTCATCTGGTCAACTTGTGCAGGCACTAAAGATCCCGACGGTACATTCAAGCCATTTGATCAATGCCTGCCCCTCGTCCTCTTGGTGCCAGTATTGTGTTGTGTCTGCCATCAGCGAAGGTTTCATCAGTACCTATCTATGATGGAGCGCACTACACAGTACAGCCCTTATGGATTCGTAAGCTCGTTTATTGATAGCCTACTTTCGGGTACTTTCGACATACTTATCAGCAGTCTCTTCCCTTCTTACTCGACGACAATTTCCCCTACTGCCACAAGCCTCCATGAAACACAAAGAAGAAGTCATATTCGACGTGACGATTGAAAGAACGCAGAAGACATTGGATGAAGCCATAAACTTAAACTCGACGTCAGCTGCAAAGCTCGACATGTGGGACCACGCAGGTTCGTCGTCGTCACTCTATCCCAGTCGCTTAGTGTCGCATTCAGATTACTTTGTCCTCGCCTAGAGGACTTCATCGCCCAGACCGCCCAAGAGGTCGTATCAGCGCACGATTTCTACAACCAGAATGCTACAGCCTTCAAGTCATCATCTGACGCGATGGTCACGGACCTCTCAAAAAAGAATATGGGCGATTTTCTGGGTGAGGCAAAGAAGGTCATGGATGCCCTGGATTCTCTGCAACAGATCCACCCGTTTGTTGGTGGTGTGTTTCCTACTTGTTGGTGTGTTTCTACCTCGCTAATAGATACCCTGTAGTGGCTATACTTGCTTTCAAGGCAGTCGTGAATCTTGAGCTAACGCGAAGAGAAAACGATCGTAGAGTTGGATTGATGATAGCTCGGGCATCTGATATGATGGTCATACTTCTCCAGTTCGTCGGTCGATGCCAATCTAGGACGACTTTTACTGATTCGATTCGCTGGTAGACTTAAGGACACCAAAGACCCTGCCATCGTGGGACCTCACGGTGAAATTCGGGGGCGACTCGAGCGCGTCATGGATGGCATCAAGAAAGATATTGAGGATTGCGGGAACGCCATTGAAAAGTACTACAAGTCAAAATTCGTTGGTTAGTTTCCTCCCGAATGTTAGGTGTTTCATATTGAGAACCTCATTCCCAGTGAAATTCTTCAGATCATCCCATTAGGCGAGCGAATTTGTCAAAAATTGCAGCAGCTTTTCCCAGCGTACCCAGGACCTCCAGCTCGCCTTGAATATCAGGACGACCTTGAGAGTTGACATTGCGATCGATAAGCTGGAGAAGCTAATCCAGAGGCCAAGCGAACGCGAAGCGAAATTCGAGAAAGAAGTGCAAATGCGCGGTGGAAGGGAGAAGTGTTTGGAGAGCGAAGACGCATTAGTGGAGCTACTGAAATTTGCTGAGCAACGGGAAGCACGTCCACAGAATAAAGCACGTCCCGATCCCGCCTCCAAAGATGCCAATAAGCCTACTTCCAAGACCACTTCGGCCAGCGGATCAGTTGCTGAGCAGTACCGCCTCGATGCCTCATTGCTTCACGAACTGCGTGCTCCTTTACGCAGCTTACTCGACGAAAACCGCGCTCTCTTCATGTTCAAGCTCGACACCCAGACATCTGACATCAAAGATGCTATCAAGGATTCCGAGGCGCGCATCATGTGGGCCTTCAACAGCAGATTCAGACGGGTCAAGGATCCAGTAAGGAGCAGTAAACTTAGCCTCATGCATTACTAACTTGGTCGATTTCACCAGCACCTCCGATATATCTGGAAGGAGATGGTATGTGTTTGTGCAGGCGTTAACAAGGTGCATACTTATCATCACCAAGAAATGGACAACAAGTTCAAGACACTATACTTCATCGCAGAACTCCATGACTATTACGTCAATCGGTTCTCCCGCCTTCGTCACGATGCTCCGCCCGCACAAGAGACCTCGGAGGCTTCATCTTTGATCCTGCGAGTCCCATCCCCAACACCTACTGTCTCTGTCGCCTCGGATTCAGAAGGAGAAGATCGCGATCTTCAAGCAGTCGATTCTGCATACCGCGAGCTTCCTACAGTTGATCTTGCAGACAAGTGGTGCCTGAAATACTTGTCCGTTTTCTACGTTCCGAGTCTATCGGAAGGCTTCGATGGCGATGCAAATGGTTTGGTCAGCATAAGGGAAGTGAACTCCTTTACTTCCACGACGCCTTCGGGTTGGAGTCTTCCACAAACGCTTGCGTACTGGGCAGCAGGTGAGCATTATTATCATCAGGTTGAGTCTGCAGTGTTGACGTCAGGGAAGGGTGGAGAGTGGATAGCCAATATTACCACGCACGGATTGAACAGGTCTTGGATAGCATGGTTTATGTGCAAGCAGATGCACTTCCGGAAAACCGGAGGTGTATCACCACATACTTGAATTCATATGTTATCGATGGTCTGTCGCTCTGCTCACCTTTGGGTGGGGGAATTGACATTGTAGACAGGCATCAAACGACTGGTCCGTTCTATTGCAGACCTTGGATCAGAGGATTCGGACTTGGATCTTACGCAATTGGCTGCTCAGCGTCGCACAGCTCAGGAAGAGATATTGGCGGATAAACTTAACATCGTGAAGTATGAAATTGACTCCAGGGATTCTATCAAACTTTTTGGATCTGGTCGCATCGAAAATGTGAGTTGTTTGCTCAGTGCTTATGCTGGATGCTCACGTGAATACTTGTTCAGTTCTTGCTGCCTTTGGTTTACCTCGTCATCAGGAGGCATTTACAGATCATGAGACTCGCCAGCACAGTAATTCTGGTTGAGAGAGAACTCGAGTCTGCAACTCAAACGATAGAAAATATTCTGGAAGGGGTGACTCTGCGTGTGGAGCAACTGGCAGGTGCGCTTCCGAGTTGCATTGTGATGAGCTACTGAAATATCCTTCCACGTCGTAGAATCATTTCGCCAGCTGGGAAACGATCCGAAAGTGAGATTCACTTGGTATGCGCATGGATTGGTGCGTGGAGACAGCAAACATTGCATTGATCATGGCTCTCACACTTCGCAACAGTACAACTTCTGGTACAGTCCAGAACTAACCACGGACGACACCGAATACTGGGAAACCCACGATTTTGGACTTGATGAGACTGAGTTAGACATTGATGAGACAGCATTGAAGCTCGGTCCCTTCAGTCTGGCAGAGAAAGATGAAGCGTTGGAAACGCCTGTGAAGTTCACTGCAATTAGTCCCGGTCAGCAGCCTGAAGACACCAAGGATGAGTATATCCGTTTGTGGTGCATGAATGAGCTCCACAATGCGCGAAACTTCTACCCTTATGAAATCACGCCTTATCTATCGTCCGAGGAAAAACAAAGGTTCAATTCCCTGTGCGACGAGCTGCCTCCTTCAGATGTGCAGCGCTGGAGTTCATTAGCTGAACTCCACGTGCGCAAACGATTGTTCAAGTAAGTCCAGCTCTCGTTAGCTATTCTTCTCTAACCATTTGTTTGTTTCCGGGGTTCAGGTGTTCCTGCGATGCATGCCATTGCCTTGTCACTGACGTTCTTCACCTTTGTATAGACTGCGATTCCAGTGAGTGTGATGAAGACAACCCTCCCGTGCGAAACGACTGATCATCTTGCATATATAGATGATTATGATTTATGTGCAGAATGTGAACCTCTACCGGTTTCAGAACATCAATACCCATCCGACCACAAGTCGACGCACAACATGCTTGTTTTCCGCATGCCGCTACCGTATGGTCGCTACAAGCGAGTCCGGTGGTATGCTAGGAATTTCTTGTCCACTTGTATGCCCAGTGCACCACCACCAGAAGGGTCATCGACTGTGCAAGAAGACGAATCCCGGACACAATCAAATGGAACAGAACTTCCGCCTTCGACAGAGGCCACTCAAACGGATGAATCTTGCGCCCCCCTCGATTCGCCGGCAGACGACGAGGGGTTAAGCGGAGACTCGGGAGCGACATCCGGGGGGATAGTTGAAGTTGAAACCTCAGTTGTGGATGGGGATGCTTATACTTGTGCTGAATGTGGCGTTAAGATGAAGGGCATCTTTTATGTATGCCTTACCTGCGGAGGTCAGATTTCTATTCCTCTAAAGGAGCACGAAGCTTGATAACCATTACAGAAATCCAGACCGCCATTGCCTTATGTGGCGATTGTGCGTTCCGCGATGTATTCAATGTGGTCACAGCACACCACCCTCACAAACACTGGCTGGTCAAGATTAAAGACAAGGTTCAAGACGCAGGTGGAGCATCAGACGAACCTCCCGATGACTCGGACGAGACAAGTTCGCTTTCCTTACGAGTCGACAAGCTGGCTGCAATGGTGGAATCTCGCTTTGCTGAGCAGGATCGCCGCCTTGATGCACTTATCACGCAGGTTGATCTACTCGTGCGCAGTCTAGCTGGATCGACGGGAAAAGCACAGCTTCCCTTGGAGTCTGTCTCGGTTTGATTGGTTCGTAAATTGGCAGGCTGTCATTCTGATTCTCGTGTATGGTGTAGATGAACGCTAACTTGTAATGTTCCTCACATAAGTGTAAGGCTTGCTATGGGTTCGAAGGGGAATTGTAACGAAACGAAGTGGATAAGAGACGAGCGAGAAGGTAATCGAGAAGAGTAGGAATAACGTGTAATACGAGGACTTTTGTACGAGGCTTTTCGGTCGTGCTTGGAGCGGGGAATCAGCGGCTAGGATTCTGCTGTAGGTATGAGTGTACATGGGCGGTATATATACGTTTTCGAGTGGTTGACTAGGCCGGAATCGGCGTGAAGAGCATATGGTGAAGTGAAAGTACTCTGTCAAATAAAGGGATAGTGAAGTGTGAGCAGTAGGTAAGATGACGAGAAAGAGATGAAAGGGAATATATTCACGTAACTCGGATGCGAAGAGTAAGCTCTTCGCGTCGGTTGAGTTACGTGGTCATGCTAATCGCGTCTCCATCTGAAGGCTTGGTTGGCGCGTAGAGGACATGGAACCCCTACATAAGCAAATGGTGAAATAACGATGTCCATTAATGTTGCTACGAATTACGGAGTGTTATCTCCAGCCTTGCATGTAGGGTGCCATCGCAGTCTGTACACAGATCGCTACAACAACAGTCAATTCAATTCAGTGAAGGAGAAGAGTCACAAAATATGTTGGTTGGTAAAATAACCGCTCCAAACACATCCACATGTAGCACGGATCGAGTTGAGGAAGCGAAATACTCGCTCGTCATACGTCACCCAATCCTTCAATGGCCACGAATAGTCGGTGTAAGGCTTGCCGACTACATCGCTGTATCTTGTATTACAACCAGGACTATGTAGCCAACAGGGCAGCAGATAGAATCATACATCCATCAGTACCTTGATTTCGAATGAGTCGATGCGGATTCAAACCTACCCATCTGGCACATGCGTCTCTAGGAATTCCGGACATGTCAATTTCAAACCTTAACGTGGAGTTTCACAGTCTGAATTCCCTTTCCCTCCGTGAGCCTCTATCAGAAGTACTGTTTTTAGACACACTGGAAAGCTAGGCGAGGAAAGACCAAACACGACGCGCCATTGCCACTCAGGACCCAGATAAAAGCGAAGGTGCCATAGACGTCCTGCAGGGATTGGCGTCATCACATGGACGTGAGGAAAACCCGAGAGACATGGACCACACGCCTCATGCAGCATATTTAGTTTACTTGCTGTGTAATGCGCAAACGTTTCTGGAACATCCTGATGCGGAAAGAAGCAACGAACTGGTTGCGATCCGGTTTACCGCCTTCACCCACCTGAACCTCATCTGGCGGGCAGCCCAAAAAGCGCTTCAAAGACTCATCCTTGACTGATAAATGCGTCATACATCAATAAATGTACTCACCAAGTCGGCGCTTACCATCAATACTTCCCAAATTCAGCTGCGTAAAAAATACATGGTTGCTGGTTTCCATACATGCGAGGCGCAACTCGGAAGAACAAGCAGACGAAAATTCGGAAATCAATCCAGAAAGGGCCGACAAGGTTTCTCGCCGATCACTCACAACTGCCCAATCTCGATATTAAGCGCTTGCAGGAGGTCGAAGAACTGTGCAGCTGCGAGAGCAGTGGCGCAGGCATTGGCAGTTGAGGTAACAGAGGAAGAGGTATCACTAGGAGCAGAGACAAGATCACGGATACGAGGTAGAACAGCGGTACGTTCCCGCTTGGTTGATAGAAAGGAGAACACTACGGATGGTGGTCTGCATTGGATGAAATCTGCTGTCATTCGACAAGGAAATGAGGGCATCGTGCCAAGCATTGCAAAACAACAATCAGGATAGGAGCACCCGGCTCGAAGACCCGACAAAGGAAAGAAAAATGAAATGCACGAAGCAACATGGCAGACAAAGAACCCTACAATATCAATCACTTACGACAGTCTGCTGCCCTTTCGACTTTTGATATCACTGATATTGCTTTTGCACCCCACAATGAACCATTTCAAAGACAACGAAACATTTAGGTGATCCTGTGCAAGAACCGTCAACTTTTTGCTCATGATCAGCTTAGATTCGGGGAGCAAACCATAGACCCGTACGTACAATAGTAGGAATATTAGCATAGGGACCGAGTACTTGGCAGTAGGTGGAAGACATGAACGAGCGAAAGAAACCAAGCACGTGCGAAAAAAAGAAATACGACTGCTGTAGCGGAAATGTATCATCCAAGGGCTATCCAACCACACAACTCCATCTTCTGACTGATCTCCGTCGGCATCCTCAACACGCTTTCCTTGTGCAGCTCATTGATACTGCACCTCTCTGAGCACAGCACAAACCTCCCAAGCCCTCCCTCTCGTCCTGTGAATATACACACAGTCGGCGGTCGCTCCGCACGGAAATAGTACATCGTCGATGAGTACGTGTCGATGAGCGTGAACATGTGTCCCGCATGAGGTCCACTATTCTTTAGAATCGCCGATCCGTATTGTATGTCTCTACCTCCCCGTACCGTGCTTTGTTCTGGAATCGAGAACTCTGACCCGCTCGGCGTGTAAGACATCCTTGGGAAGTGTGCGGCAACGGTACCCCCATAAAGGTGTCTCTCTACCTCTGCGATGTCGATCACTCCTTTGACCCCGATGAACCACGGTTGCGCGGCGACGATACGCCCAGATTGACTGAAAAGGAACAGTCTGGGGGAAAGGCACAGGAACACGGTTCCGATGACGATGAGCGCGATACCTCCCTTTCGACTGGTCGTCCAAATCGCTGACCCAACAATGAGGCACGGCCAGGCGAGATACGCAAAGAAACCGACGAGTGTCCTCCTCAGTGAATCTGGGGTCTCATATGCGATATCTGGGAAATCCTTCCATCTGATAGCTGCTGCCTTACATCCATCAAGCACGAGGGCTCCGCTCTTCGTCACACCAGCAACTTGGATCTCCGGGAGAATATCCCAGAGATTGGCACGGTGGATATCATCGTCAGCGTACCAGCACGCCGTCTCGGTGATAGTCGAAGGCAACATGGATACCATGCGCTCAATGATGCGGTCGTTGTCATTGGCCATTGATAACCTAACGAGGGCGCGCAAGTCGTCCTCTGAGCGGTTCGGGTGAATGCGGTGCTCAAAAAAGCCCATGAGCGCATACACCCGCTCCGCACTGTACGCCCCGTTGGTGACAGGGTTTTCGCCTATCATATCCAACTTCAGCGGGGGTGGAGGGGCAGAGTTTACTGGTAGAGCTGCTGTACCGCGCCGCCATATAGCTGATTTCAACAGCGTCAAGCGTTCCAACCTCTCAAGTGGATCCTTCCCGCTGTACGCATTGATGACTGCCTGTTCTATGTCGTAGTTCGTATAGGCCAGGTTAGCCAGCTCGAACAACGACAACGGCGTAACCTCGTCCCGATCCCTGAACTTGTAGCAAAGGCGAGGGCTCAGGAGGGCTTCGGGCAGTGTCCACACACGTTCGCCCCAGCCCCTCCAGCACTCGCTCTCACCCGCCGCAGCTTTGCCGAGCATGATCAAGGTCAACTGTGCTCCCCGGTAGACGTCCGTCATGCAGTACAGATCCAGATTCTTTTCCAACGGAGTCTCCCCCACACACTCCAGGTCAAGCCAATATGCATTGAATTTCTGTTCGAGCACCGCTGCACGAACCTCGTCTTTAAACTGCGCCTTTTCCTTCTCCATATTTGGGCCTCGAGTGAAGGCATCGACGGCGCGGTAAGAGATGGCGATGAATTTGGTGCGGATGATGGTCTCGCGATCTGTGCATGGAACCCACTGATTTCGACTCGGGTCGCGGATTATGAGAAGTCGGGGATAAAGAGTATGCGTGGGGATATCCATCTCGCCCTCCTCGATAACGCGCGAAGAATATTCCTTGGGTGAACGAGCTGCCCATAGCTGACCCTGGAAGTCACGAACATAAGGTTTGTAGTATCCAGTTTTATACAACTCTTTATCATCCCCAGAGTCATCCGGCAAGTCGATGGTAGAGAAAAGCTGCACGAGCAGGCTGATGATTGACCAAATGAACGACCAGGAGAGCTTCAACGTAAACCACAACCACACGCCGACCCATTTGAAAATGACCCATCCTCTGATGGGAGTAGCTACTAGCCATACGGCGAGTTTGGACACCTGGTTGGTGTGGTTTCTGATGGCGACTTCGGATGGCGCAGAGCGATTGACGGCTTGCACGACGAGTTTTCGACAGACCCCAGTGGTAGGGCTGACATATCTCTGCTCTGGACCGTGTGTTTTGGAATTGCCCAAGTCATCTGTACAAGTAATGGTTTCCCTTTGCGTGACTGGGAGCTGCCAGAGCGGCATCCTGGCAGACCCTGGGAGAATATCAGTTGGACAATGAGCAAACTACAGGACTTTCGAGCTGTTAACTGGACTTACGGTGAGGAGAGACACGGGCGAGGTGTTACTTACCACAGTAACGCCCTAGTATTACCTTTATATTACGCTTGTGCGTGCCCATGAATGTTGCTGTGTTTCAGCTGCCCAGGATCAACCGTATATCCAAATGTCAGGAAGACTTCTTTACCCTATTTGCCAAGGCATGGAGACAGTTACTCGAACTTCGTGCACCTGGTACCATACGAATCAGATCCGCATCGTCAGAATAGCGTCAAGGAAAATGGGGTGCTTCGTGGCCTAGCATCATACAAATAAGATCCTGACCGCGCATCATCAGAACAGCGCCAAGGAAAATTAGGTGCTTCGTGATTACCATAGGTCACGAAGGCGAATGATATCACGGACTGGATCTACCAATCTTGCTTTTATGTGTCACGCACAGATATTCCATGGCAAAGAACCATGAAACTAATACCAAGAAGGGAAGAATCAAAACGAATCCCTGGCGCCCTGCAGGCGGAGCGCCGCCGTGACATTACAAATACTGGCTGGTCAAGAATAAAAACAAGGTTCATTGACAGGAGACAGATGAAATATCATCCGTCCGAACCTCTGCTCAGGATTCTCTTTGCGCGCTTGCAAAATGCTTTGGTCGAGGGCGGGATAAAAATCCCCCCGCAGCCTCTCACTATTCTCACTGTCAGCCAACGTCAAAATCACCACCAATCAGGTATTGTCATCTCCAGCTTTGCATGTAGGGTGCCATCGCACTCTAGATATATGGGATTGCTACAACAACAAAGTCAGTTCAATTCAGTAGAGGAGAAGAGTGGCAAGATATGTTGGTTGGTAAGGTAACCGCTCCAAACACATCCTGTAGCATGGATCGGGCTGAGAAAGTAAAAGACTTACCCGTACACTACCCAATAACCAAATCACCAGTTATCGCTGATGAAAGCCTTGCCGGTTACATTGCCCACGTATGGTTTATGACAACCAGGTCTGTGCAGCCAACCGCCGGAGCAAAGAATACTAAATAGTCCCATCGGAATCGTAAATCCATCAGTATCTTGCCTTCGAATGGGTTGGAGCAGATTGAAACCTACCCAGATGTACAGGTGTCTCTATGAATCGCGTAGACACAAATGTAAGGCTGAGTATGAGTTCGGCAGGGAATTGTTAACGAAACCAAGTAGATAGGAGACGAGCGTAAAGGTAATCAAGAAGAGTAGGAAAACGTATAAGACGGAGACTTTCTGTGAGCCTTTTCGGTCGTGCTTGGAGCGGGGATCTGAATATAGAATTCGCTGCTAGATACGAGAGTACATGAACGCTTTATATACGTTTTCGAGTAGTCGAATAGGCCAGAACAAGGATTCGTAGCGCATGGTACAACGAAAATTGAGCGGGAAAGATAGGGAACTGTGTAATGTGAGCATGAGGTATGATAATGAAAGGAAACGGAAGAGATTGTATCCGCGTGACTCGGATGCGAAGAGTGTTACTCTTCGCATCATTGAGTCACGTGGCCGGTTTCGAGCGTACTAGATCTGAAGTGTTGGTCCGGGCGTAGAGGACATAATACCCTTACACAAATTACAGCCCTTGAGGTGGAGTTTCACGGTTCACTTTCCCTCCGTGACCCTCTATCAGAATTGTTGCTTTTGGACACACTGGAAAGCTAGGTGATGAAAGACCAAACCCGACGCGCCATTTCCACTTCGTGCCCAGATAAAAGAAAAGGCGCCGCCATATATATCCTGCAAGAATTTCCGGCGTCATCCTATCAGCGTGAGGAAAACTCGAGAGACATGGACCACACATCTCGCGCAACAAATTTGCAGTTTGATTTTTGTATACTGCGCAGACGCTTCCAGAACATTCTGATGCGGAAAGAGGCAACGAACTGGTTGTCACCTAGTTCACCCCCTTCATGCACCTGAATCTCATCTGCGGGACAGCCCAAAAAGACTCATACTTGGCTGATAGGTGGGTCATATATCAACAAATGTATTCTCAGGTAGGCATAGCCAAGCACTTACCATCAATATCACTCAAATTCAGCTGCGCGAGCAGATGAAAATTCGGAAATCGATCCAGAAAGGGCCGACAAGGTTTCTCGACGGTTATTCGAAACAGTTTGCCCAATAGAGCGCCATGTGACCTTCGATATTGGGCGTTTGCAGGAGGTTGGACAGCTATACAGCTGTGAAAGCAGCAGCGCATGCATAGACAATTGAGGCAACGAAGGAAGAGGCAACATCGGGAGCAGAGACGAGATCACAGATGCGAGATAGAACAGCGGCACGTTCCCGCTTGGTTGATAGAAAGGAAAATACGGATGGTCGTCGGCATTTTATGGTCTCTGCTGACAATACGGACGTAGAAAGTGTCGTACGAGGGAGGTGCATTACCAACAGAATTGCTATCATCCGAGTCAAGGGATCCGGAGTTGGTAGTCATTATGATGCGCAAGTGAGGCAAGGGAGATCCATCGTCGAATAACAAGAAAATGAGGGCGTCGTGCCAAGCTTTCCGCCGCAAACGGTATCAGCTGTGTTCGGCTGCTATCAAACGCACGAATACGTTAAATTACACAGGATTGAGTGGTTGTGCTGCGGTGTGAGGAGCGCCTGCCAGCTCGAGATCGCTCGAGACCGCTCGAGACCTCCCGTTGAAGGAATGAAATGAAATGCACGCTGAAGCAGCATGGCGCAAAGCGATAAACACCCTTACAATAGAGTCAATTCTGACGGTCTGCCATCGTTGATGTAACGAGAAATGCCAAGGGCCGACGCCATCCCGAAAATGCTAGGGCAGCTAAGTGTGGGCAGTTGCGTTGTTCGAACGGTGGTGGTCAGCTCATCACGGATTCATGGATAACACTAGAGTAAATATGAGACGAGCCAAAGGGAACATTAATTTGGCCCGGGTGAGAGAGTCGTTTGGCAAGTAAGTACTTACATACTAGGCCGAGTGTTCAACGTTCAACGTTCAATCCCTGGACATCCCTTCTATAATCTAAAGACGCCAAGGAAGTGCAATGAGCACGGAACCTGGGTTAAGCGAAATTCCTTCAGACACCCATCATTACTTACGATCCTAGCATCACGGGCGGTACGTACTACGCGGGTGATATAGATCTCGTGGTAAGTACTCCCTGGTGGTTCCCTGAGCTGTAGGTGATTATACTCTCACACACGGCGCAAAAGATCAAATGAAACAAGGACACAGCGTCCTGGTAACAATCAAGCAAATAGGACAACCGCTCTGCGATGCAGTAGTGAGACAAGATAAGGAGTGGCGCAGTAAGATGACCTTTCCCCTGAATTTATACAATGGCACAATGAATGTAGCTAGCGACACAGCAAATCACAGGCTATATGAAATATGGTTGTCTGTGAGCGTTGTGTGAGCGTGTTATGAACGTGCAGATTTACGTACTGGGAGTCAAGTGCCGCGCCTAAGGCGAACCTGCCAGCTGTAGCTCCGACTCAAGAGATTCTCCTATTTCACTGATGGTCGAACGACTAGGTAATCCACCACAAGGCAACCAGCATCGTTGAATAAGATTCCACTGTGCACTGGTGACAAATGTTTCTGGAGGACACCGTGGCTTTATGCCTCTCGAAGATAATACAATAACAGTAATGTTGTCCTTGATATCGTAGTAAGGGATTGATTCCGTGAACAGCTAGAGTGGTAAAGTAGTAAGCGGGAGATGCCTTGAAGAGATGATAAACCACACCTGTAGGAGGATACTGCCTATTGAATAGATGTCAGTCTGCTCCGTTGGGATGCATGGATTGATATCGCTTTTCTCCGTCTCGAATAGTTGAGGATCAGTCCATCGCACCGCTGAGCGAATCCCTCCCGACTGGTTGTACCGGCGTCGGAATTTCCGCGAGCAACAACACGACCCCGAAGTCAGATAGTTGCGCTCTCCCCTGATCATCCACCAGGATGTTGAGCTAGACAACGTTAGCGAATTATACTTCTGGGAACAAAGACCTTACTCCAGTTATGTCTCCGTGTACAACAGAATGAGCGTGTACTATATGTTAATTAATGAAAGCCATTGTCATGACGAATGGAAAAAAAAAAAGGAAAAAAAAAAACTAACGATAGCCGAGGCCAGCCACCACCTGTTTGGCCTAAAGACGCGCAATTGTAAGAATGAGAAACATCATGGCCACCGAAAGGTTACATACGAGATCCAACTTGCTCCGCGGTGATAAATGATGATTAGTAGCGATGTAGTCACTCAACGTCCCCTGGTTCACCCAAGGTGTCACCAGTGACGGAAAGTACCCGAAACCGTCCGCAACCCCATATAGTGGCAAGACGTTTTCATGATGTAATTGTGCCCAAGATGATATTTTACCCATCAGCCCCTGAGCTATCCATGAGCGAACCCTCTCAGACATGAAGGAAAGAACGGACTTGACAGTTTCTTCCTCTTCTCATCTTCATCGGAGAATGGAATTTTCAGTGACTTGACCGCAACCTAAGAAAGTTAGTCGTACATAAAATATTTCGATAGTAGGTGAATCTTACATCACATCTTTGCTTGTCGTGGCACCAGACTGATCGCCAAACATCGCTGTACGTACCCGACAACGTGGGGTATCTTTCGCGACGAACGACTTGCCTGGTGAGATCAGGGGCCGAATTGCACTGAGATCCTCTCACAGCATGTCGCTGGAAATTTGTGGAGGCAGTTGGTACTTGCTTCAAAGAATCGAGTGACGAATTTACAGAGCTGTTCTCAAATTCAGCAAATAAATATTTCGAGAGACATGATGTGTATACTTAGGGACAACAATGTTAGGACCTTTTCTCAGGACGGTGCAGGAGCCTGAGTCGACTGAATTCGAAACGGCGCCTTGCTGATTGGAGCATGAACCATCAGAAAACGAATGGAGAGTTGCAGGTGCTATTTCTCGGTACGACCATCGGATGAGCGCCAGAGGTAACTTCACCACTAGCCCGAAATATGTCAGCAAATTAGAAACGCCGGAACCCTGTTGAGGGGTTGTCGGGGTGTGGTCCAGCGGATTGTTAGACATGACCTATAGCTAATAAGAAAGTACCGGGGTGTAGAATTGTTAGGAAGTAGACGCTGAATACAGGCGATATTCATACCTTTCGAAAGCATGCCATAATAAGTGCGGTGGGGGGGTCTCGTGAAATGCCATTTCAATCGATCGTCTATCTTAGTTCACGGAAGTTACAACACTTCCTTCATGGCATGTGTCCAACCGAGTGCCCACCTGTGCACATTTAACGGGCACGGGGTAGATACAGTGTCTTCAGCTTCCAGCCACTGATTTCCATGGACCAGTACCAGCCCAAAAGAACACGAAGTCATGCCAGCTGCGATGGGCCGCGACTTCCTCGAGCGTGATCGGATATGAATATGACCACACTATCGCCTCAAGGCTCAAGCAGCCCGACAAATTTCCAGCGATCTTCGGACGATTCACGTATTTCCGCAGTTGAGTAATACGGCTGGCACTGGTTATGCTGTTGCTAACAAGATGATCAACTCGGTAAGTATCGTTAACCCGTATGGCAAACTTTGTTTCTTACTTTTCATAAAGTAGTGTTCGCGCGCTACTCGGCCTCAAGGTGGTGGTTCTGTGGCTATATCTAGGGTTATTGAGCCTTCCGAGTGGAAGTTAAAGGGCAACTTGTATAAAACACAGACAAACTACACGTGCTTAGCAGTGTGATTCATTTGAGCACATTGATTCAGGAAAACCTTGATACACAGTTTGATTAGTATGCCTGCAATTCATGTCATGTTTGAGGCCTAGGGCTCATCCGGCGAGTCAAGAATCCACCACCGCGTTACTTGCGCTAGTTTCGGGACCAGAATAAGTGAGCTTCTTGCGTAAAGGATACACTAGCAGAAAACCCTCTCGTTGAGGTTATTCGAACTCCGGCAAAATGTAAGAGCGCGTGGACCAAGTTCCCATCAACAACTTGCTGTAGACGCTTTCACCGCATCGTCAAGAATTACGCATTGAGAACGACATGCAGATTACGCCTGTGAAGCCACGCTCAGTTGAGTCAGTAGTAGGATGCACATTGCACAGCAGCCAGCTCTGTTCAACGTTTCAACCGCCGCGAGGTGCGGACTTGGAATTCTTGGAACTAGGCAACTGGCATGTTCCTGGCAGATACGACTCAGTGACATCACGAGATCGGATTGAGGTGTTCATAATACCACTCTTAGGAGGCTGGAAGAAGGGCTCGGAGTCGAGACGCGAGAGATAAGGTCACACGCATAAGTGGCGTCCAAGTTCCAAAACTCCGGAGTAGTAAACTCAATGGGGCACAGCGGCTTACCCCGCGATGAACTTCCAAAGAACGTGATAGTCCAAGGCGGGGTAGAAGATCTCAGGTCGTCATGCGCAAGTATGGTATTTAAGTGCGGTATTTGCCAGGCATGATTCCACGACCACTGACTTAGATTCATTTAGCATATGACGCTTTAGATCGTGCATTCAAACATAGCCGAGCAACCTGTTTGCAGCCTGTGTGACGAGTGTTCGTGTCCAGTAGGGACCGTTGTTCGCGGAGAAGCACTGGTAACTTACCGCTGCGCAGCACCGGGGTTTACTCCAGTGTTTCAGCTGAGGTACACTATGTGACGCCTCAGCCGAAACTGCGGAGTAAACCTCCCGCATGCGATATGGCCTATCACTCTTTCGGTGGTGGCAATTCAGCGATGTGAGTCCTCGTGTCAACCATCTCATGCAGTACTTGATATTACAAGGGTCTATTAAACTCCACAAACCTATCTTAAATCCACCATAGTGGATTCATTAATTTTGGCTCAGCCGCCGTGATTGCAGGGATCATCCTGATTTTTGAATTCGCTGCCAAGATCGCAGGTTCTGGCAGGTCAGAAGACTTGCAAATGCTGAGTGCGGTGTCAATTTTATGTTCGTGCTTTACTTCTGTGAAAATTGCGAGCACGCCCCCAGTCCAATAAAAGTGAGATCGTTCTCCACTTACCGTAGCTCCTGACATTCTCCATTCTCGAAATCTCCAGTCTTCTCTTCGTTGCTGCTACAGCGCAATGTCACAACCGGGTACAGAAAAGCCACCATCTACCAGTGAGTGATTTTCCACCTGGTGGCTTGATGGCTGATGGCGAATCATCAGAAATTCACTGGATGAAACGACTGCGCAGTCTGCGCGTTGATTGCTCACTCTCCTTCACAAGTGAAGGGGCCACTTCTTCGGTGAGTCTTATCAATGGGCGGCATGCAAATTTAGACCGACTCAATGGTATACTGATAGGGAAATGATTCTGACGAATCAAAGACGGTCCCGGATCTTACAGGAAGTTGCACTGACTCTGAGTCGCCTTGTATCGTATCGCCTTCTGGGCCATTTTCCAGTTTTGAAGACCTTTCACTGTCTACGTTTGAAGTTCCTGACTATGAGGATGAATTTCCTTCATCACTGACCCCACCTTACGCAACAAGGTGTGTTTTCCTGTTGAGAGACAGTAAACCGAGTATGAATATTTTTATTTTCAGAGATGTTGACTTCAAAAAATACCATGATGAACCTCTCGATCTGACGCCCTACGTTAAACGCACCCAGGCGTACCCCCACAGCAATGGTGGATTCAGCAACGTCTGGAAGTGCAAATTAGTTTCCTTCCATCAAAATGGTACTAAAGTTCGTGGATGGATTGGTTTACCTGCAAAAGATTTGCTGATCCCACTAGATGTCCCCACAAGACGTCGCAGTCAAGGCTTTTAGAGTGCCATCAAAGAAGACAGAAGACATCGATAAATTAATCAAGGTCAGTTCTCATGCAGTCAATTTATGTGGCACGTACCATTCTCTTTATCCAGAAACTGCGGCAGGAAGTCTTTATTTGGCAGGCGCTAGAATGCTCGCATATCTTGCCTTTGTATGGCACCACGAAAGGATTTGAGAGAATCCCAGCGCTAGTTGGTCCGTGGATGAAAAACGGCGCCCTCCATGAACATCTAAACAAAATGTGGGGCAAGCAATCGCTGCCCAAAATGCATTGTCTCTTCCTTCTCGTAAGTGCTTCTTGCCTATCTTACAGACACTCTCATATCAGTTGAAATATAGCTCTTCCAAATCGTTTCAGGTCTTCAGTATTGTGAGTGATTTTTCTTTCTTTTGGCTCTGCGACTCATTCAGACTATCAAAAATGATCAGTGCATGTTAGAAATATTATCCACGGGGACCTTACGGCCGTATGTCACGGAATTCTAAACCATTGGTTCGCCCTGCTCATGAAATTTTCAGTATAATGTTTTGATTGATGAGAACGGAGATGCTGTCCTTGCGGACTTCGGCCTGTCGCTACTGCTGGCAGAGCATGAGACATCTTTCTTCGATTCTCACAGCCCAGGCGCAGTTCGTTGGGCTGCTCCAGAAATTATACCGCTTGATTCCTCCGAAGGTATCAAGCCAAATAAAGCAAGTGACATCTATTCATTTGGGTGCATCATGATGCAGGTACTGTGTGATCCTCTTCTCCGTCAGAAGTCAGTGATTATGAATATTTCATTAGGTGCTATCTAATAACCTCCCGTACTCGGAAATCAGCGCACAGGCGGTAGTTGTGGCTAAATCAAAACACACTCCGCCAACACGGCCCACACTGCATCCAATCGACGACGTCTACTGGTGCTATCTCGAAAGATGTTGGTCGCCACGCGTCGAAAGGCGACCTTTGGTTGACGACATTCTGGACTACATAAAGGCAGAGTGTGACAAACAAAAGTTAGCTTCTTGAGCTGTCCGCTCCTGCCAGTGACGCGAACGAGTTGACCTCGAACGCCATGCTTTCTTGTCCTTCCAGCGCAGCATAATGTTGTACTCATCTCATGTGTTTTTCCATCATGTTACGATACTTGCCTGTAGTACTACTCGCAGCGACATAATATTATGCGTGTCAGTTTGTTTCGTTCGTCGTTTGATTCGTCGATAAAAATGATTTTATAGCCTTGACAAGCCTCTCGACGAGTACTGCCCGCTTTTTTTGGATGATGTAGACCGAGGACCTCTGCAGTCCTAAGCTCTAGGACTTGGAACTCCGCGACGGTACCAATTCGGTACCGCTTTCAATTTGCAATTTGAACTCGACAGTCATCGACTCATCTTCGCCTTTAGCGACGAGAATTCGACTCATTAATATCGTGCATTATGACTGACCTATAGTCTCTTATAGTTTAAACGAGTCAGAATGTCACAGTCACGGTCAGCCTGGCAGTTTATAAGGGCCCTACCTTCAGTTAAGGGGCCTTGTCATGCTCGTCTCGCCATCTGCACCTCAACCCAAATAATCAGACCTAGCTCGTTTCTTGCTGCCATCGCTGCTAAGATGTCGTCTACTACCATGGCTGCTCCTCTTGCCGCTGCTTCATCCCAGAACGTTACTCTCCCAGCTATTCCTGAGCTCACCGATCCCAACTTCCTTGACGTTCTTCTTCCTGTCGCTGAGCGTGCTAAGCCGATTAAAATCGCCGAAACTTCTCCTGCGCATCCAAATGCTATGATGGATGCGCTCCGCTCGACTGCTCACCAAAAGCTCACTGAAAACGCTTCGCCAGCGTTTAGTTCCACTCTTTCCACTACACTCGATGCATTCCAGGGAATTCGTCCCGGTGTGTCTGGGTCCTCGATTGATGATTACCTTTCCAAGGCTTGGGCTGAAGACCCAGCTCTCACCCTCCGAATCATCTGGTCTCTCAGGAGCATCCACGATGGGAAGGCTGACAAGGAGCTCTTCTACATGGCGTTCGGCTGGCTCTTCGAAAAGCACCCTCGCACTGCTCTCTCCAATCTCTATCTTCTTGTAGAGCCTGTCTGTACTCGCTCTCGTCCTGTCAAAGGCAAAGACTTCAAGAAACGTGTGAACATGTCTCACGGGTACTGGAAAGACCTCCTTAACATCCTCGCATTAGCCACTGTCGATGAGCTTCATCCTGCCCCTGTTCGTAATTCGCGCACCAGTTTCCTTCATAACTATACGCTTCACAACTCTCGTCCCAAATTCGAGTCTAATGCAGAGCAAGAAGCGTGGTCGAAGGCACAGCGTGTTCAGGCGCTTGGTGTGAACCACGCCCGCATTGCGGAGAAGCTACAGCAGCCAAAGTACCGCGCTCTGTATGTTACAGTCTCCAGGCTATTCGCAGAGCGGCTTGTCCAGGATGTCTCGATTCTTCAAGGGCTAGCTTCCCTTCCGGCGGATGCGAGAGACAAGGACCGGGTATCCCTCATATGTTCGCTATCCCTAGCGACGAAGTGGGCACCCTCTCCTGGTGGGTCGCACGATAGGGTCACGAACATCACCTCTGCCATTTGCATCCTCCTGCACCATGCGCAAATCACATCTTCCCACAGGATACAGGCAGAAAGATGTATCCATATGGCTAATAATCCTAAAAGTCCGATACATCTTTAAGTCTAGTTATCCACTCTGGAATACATCCGTTCTGTATGGTTATCGATCAGCCAGCCTACCGAACTTCTGAGAATGGCATACACGGCTCCGGGAAGGTGGCCGTCCATTGACGTCCATCCCCGGCGGTCATATTATTTCAGTGTTTGCGATCTTGCGATCTCCCCAGGTACCATATCACTATGTAGTTCTGAGATCAAGAATCACATCAATTTAACCTTCACAATCGCAGTCCAGAAATGCTATTATTCATCAGGTCGGTCCCTTGATATAATCACAAGGAGGCGCATCCAAAGAGACCCCTACGGCACGCTCGGGCTTGGTTCAGTCCGGTTTTCTGTCATTATTTTCTAGACGCTAACCCGAACGCTAGCCTAGGTTCAGGTTCAGCTGTTGGCCAAACTCTGGACCGAACACCGCTGAACGTGTTCGGGAGGTCTGGTTCGCGTTTGAACCGGGTTCGACCACAATCTCGAGGTGTTGCATTGACAATGCCCACCACGAACACCACGCCGTTCCATACACCACGAACACCATGCGCAAACGCCCAGTGCACGTCAGCAACTGCTGACGTGGCTCAGACGAGTGCGGATGATGGACAACAGCAGGAGGAACCTCGAGGGAAGCAGACGAGGAGGAGAACGAGGGAGAGAGACAAGCAGGAAGAAGGAAGAAGCTAGAAGGGATGGTGGACACACAATGATAGTGAGTACTCACTCATTCTGGTACTCGTCCCAGCACACCCCTGCAACACCAACCGAGAGACAATAACACCCACCGCCTCCAGCAACAACAATGCAATGCCCACTACACCATCCAGCCCAGCAAGAGGATCGACGGAGGTACGAGAGGGTGCAATGCGGGTGCAAGAGAAACTGGTGCTGACGAGCGGGCCGCTGTGATTGAGGAGGGTTGTTGATTCCAATGGATGAGAGCAGGAGGAGGAAAGTCGAAGATGAGGAGGAGAACAAGGGAGCAGGAAGAAGGAAGAAGCGAGAAGGGACAGTGGATGCGCAAGAGAAACCAGCTCTGACGAGCGACTCATCAGGATAACGGTAGTGTACAGAACTTGGGGGTGATGTGGTCAGACACAAGTGTAAGCAGCTCAAACGACAAAATTACTCATGAACTGAGAGCAGGAGGTGGTGATAGCAAGGTGTAAGCAGCCTGAATGATGCATGAATGGAGAGCAGGAGGTGGGAGTGTAAATTCAAGCTTGTGAAACAAGAGACTTTGTGATCAGCACGTACTAGTAAAAGACCTATAAAAGTCCAATGATGCATAAACCAAAAATGGCGTACATGATCCTTGAGCTTTCTCGACAAAATTCCAAACTTCCTTACAAAACTACTGAACTTGAAGAGCTCGAGGAAGCAAACAGACAGACATATATACTATCTTTCTTGCATCTATATGTTTTTTTGCTTTCATTTTCATTAGATACGTACCGCTTAATGAAGAATTTGAGAATTTTGATTGAGTATATACAAAGTGCTGCGCATGATGTGAAATAAAAGTGGTGGGACTGGGGAAAAATTCTATTAATATTAAACATCATGTTCTATAGTAAAATGTATCGTATACAGTGCTAACTGAGCTCCTGCCATCACCGCTAGAGAACCACAGAGGGTGCCAGTGGTGGGTCGACGTGGCTAGGAGCCCAGTGCAGGCATTGTGCGAAGCCCAGACTCAGAACACAGAACCTATATCAACAAAACCATCGAAGAGTCATACATGCATTCTGTCAGCCTCGAGCTTTAGATATAAGTGAAATGTGGGACTCACGAGTTACTGGTGTGTCAGGACACAAACTGCCTGATCTGAGATGCTGACTTGAAGCTTGAATGCTGGTGAATTTGATTGTATTAGAATTTTCATTTTCACTTGAAGTTTTTCAGTGTAGCCTCTGAACGTGTATATGAAAGGTCACCCAGCCTGAGAGCCCCATCCTGGAATGCTCTAATCTAGAAAGTTCTGGTCAGGTACATTTGAGCTCGACTGACACACCTCAGATCGAGATCATCAAAGAAGTCAATGGAAGCCCATCAGGAGGAACTGGACATTCGGGAGAATTGTCCATTTGAGGTATACGATCACTGCCAGTATGATTTGTAATCCCAGAATGCGTGATTTATAAGCAAAGGAAGCCGGCAGCGCGATTCTCGTGTGGATATATCCTGGATACATCCCGTTGGATAGTGGATGACTACAGAAGAGTATGTATTGGACTTTTAGGACTATAGTCCACTTAGGATACATCTATATAACATCATCGGCTGATCTTCCCTCGCGTACAAAATCCCTGTCACGCTCGTGCCTAGTGCTCTGGAGTTGCATGTCTTGCGTTCCTTCCTCCGCCGCCACATTCTTACCCCTTCCTGTTGCCTCAAGTCCCTCCCTGAGCCCCTCATGTCCGCCAACCGCTGGTCTGAAATCATCTACTCCCGCATTTCATCCGTCTGCATGGATCAAAATAAGGGTCATTTCTTTGATCACGATCCTGACCGCTTTGTTTCCTATCTGACGGATGTGGAATCAGGAACGAAGCAGATCAGTGGTGCAATGCTCCTCCCACACAACCTTGTCATGCAGGCCATGGAATCCGTGCACGCTGTGCCAGTGAAAGAGGGGACCCTGCAAGCTGCCCTCCAGCGACACAAGTTAAAGCTTGCTGAGACACGAGCGCACGTGGTGGAGGCACAGTGGGCGACGCTCCTCGAGCGTCTGTGCGAGGCTGGAGAGCTAGATAATTGCATCGCCATCTGTGACGTCTCGGGGTCCATGGGCAGTGTCCATCACGACTACTCTACATCACGCATGTCCGACGTATCTCCCATCTGGCCTGCTATTTCCCTCAGCCTTATCTTAGCGCGGCTCGCAAAGCCACCTTTTAATGACGCCTTCATCACTTTCTCTGCGAACCCACAGATGGTCGTACTTGATCCTGAAGGCACTGTTTCACTCGGCAAGATGGTGAAGAAGATGGCGTCTTCTCAGTGGAACATGAACACCGACTTCAACACTGTCTTCCTTAACCTCCTTCTCCCACTCGCCAAGGAGCACACCGTACCTCAGGACCAGATGATCAAGTGCATCTTTGTGTTCACGAACATGCAGTTCGACGAGTCTTGGAGAGTCGAACAGTACTATTCGCGTGATTCAGATGGTACCACACTGAATGCGGCGGAGTGGGAGACGAACCATGATGTCATCGAGAAGGCATACAAGGAGGCAGGATATGAGATGCCACAGATCGTGTACTGGGACCTGTCCTCCGCGGAACGTTACCCAGGTACAGTGGCTCAAAAAACTGTCCACATATTTTCACATTTTTCACTATCTATGATATTGTGTGAGAATATACAAACACATCAAGGACATGCTGGTACCACATTGTAGTACTACTTCAGGGCTTCCAATTGAGCCCTATGACGTGGGAATTGGTCGAGATATGGTGGAGATATAAGGCTTACAAAATGATGACTC